CGACCACCACCCTCTTTTGGTCCGCACGCTTCAAAGTCTTTGCCGGTTGATCCCGACGTCAGAAGCTAGCCTTGACCCCACTTCTTTCTCCATGACACCTCCTCTAAAAAACGACCAACACCCTGAACATCAATTGCTCGTCGATCGTCAAAATTACATTGTTAGGGTTTTGCGCAATTGTCGTGGCTTTCCAACCAAATTTCGGTTGCTCCCTACGTTGGAAATCTTTCCCAACACCACCAACTACATCACCAACTCCTCCCAACCAAAACTCCCATCAACCCGAATGCCAATTGCTCACCATTTGTCGTCCGCTACCTCCCATAGGGTTTTGCAAATTTGTTGATTTTTGGGCTCAACTGAAGTTTTATTTTGATGATTTGAGCGCAGATTGATGATTGTAGGTTGATTGGATTTGTTTTAAAGTGTTTTGTGTTGTTTTTTCTAGGCTTTTGAATTGATTCCGGCATTAGAGATCAGAAATCTTGAATTGACACACCACCTATTCAACAAAAGGCCCAAGCCAATTTAGACAACGTCTTCCCTCAAAGCCCAACAGCGTGCGCGCCAGTGTTGACGATGTTGGAATCAGGCCAGATTGCCTTGAGATGGTAGTCGTGCATATGTGGGGTTCGTTTTAGATTTAATGTAGTACAAATGATCACTTTACACTTTGACCGTTATATTAAACATTTTTTTATTAATTTAAGGGTGAGAATCTGAAATTTATGAAACCAGGAGTGGAAACTTGCCATTTCGCCAAACCTTGGATGGGAACATGTCGTTTGCTCATATTAAATTTTATTTAATTTTTCGAACAAACTGCAATGGCACAAAACATTTTTATTAATATAGACTAATATGAAAATTGTGATTATTTTGATATATAAAGATTATGAATTGTTTTGATTTAGATTAGTGAGAAGAGAAAATCTTATTTAGTATTGATGCATGATAATTGATTTTATTTTATTATAGGAGAGGCATTAAATTTGTAGCATAAATGTAAGGAAATATATTCTAATCTGGATTAGTTAACCAATTTTATAAAACTAAAAGATGAATGGCATGTTTAAAAAATTATAATTTTTTATATCTAATTTATTCTAATCTAGATTTTTTTTTTTTCTTTTTGAAAAAATTGAAGCACGCTTTTAGCCCTTGTTAGCTTGCATCTAGAATCTAGGTATGCCCCGGGAGGGCCTGGACTTGCATTGAAAAATTTGTATTATATAACTTCTTTTTAATTNCTAGAAATCTTTCCCAACACCACCAACTACATCACCAACTCCTCCCAACCAAAACTCCCATCAACCCAAATGCCAGTTGCTCACCATTTGTCATCCGCCATCTCCTTTAGGATTTTGCAAATTTGTTGATTTTTGGGGAAGCTTGACTTTGATGATTTGAGCGAAGATTGATGATTTTAGGTTGATTGATTTGTTTTGAAGTGTTTTGTGTTGTTTTTTCTGGGCTTTTGAATTGATTCCGGCATTGAAGATCAAAATTCTTTAATTGACACACCACCTATTCAACAAAAGGCCCAAGCCAATTTAGACAACGTCTTCCCTCAAAGCCCAGCAGCGTGCACGCCAGTGTTGACGACGACAGAATCAGGCCAGATTGCCTTGAGACGGTAGTCGTGCATAGGTCGGGTTCGTTTTAGATTTAATGTAGTACAAATGATCACTTTACACTTTGACCGTTATATTAAACATTTTTTTGTTAATTTAAGGGCGAGACTCTGAAATTTATGAAACCAGGAGTAGAAACTTGCCATTTCGCCAAACCTTGGATGGGAACATGTTGTTTGCCCATATTTAATTTTATTTAATTTTTCGAACAAACTGCAATGGCACAAAACATTTTTATTAATATAGATTAATATGAAAATTGTGATTATTTTGATATATAAAGATTATGAATTGTTTTGACTTAGATTAGTGAGAAGAAAATCTTATTTAGTATTGATGCATGATAATTGATTTTATTTTATTATAGGAGAGGCATTAAATTTGTAGCATAAATGAAAGGAAATATATTCTAATCTGGATTAGTTAACCAATTTTATAAAACTAAAAGATGAATGGCATGTTTAAAAAATTATAATTTTTTATATCTAATTTATTCTAATCTAGATTTTTTTTTTTCTTTTTGAAAAAATTGAAGCACGCTTTTAGCCCTTGTTAGCTTGCATCTAGAATCTAGATATGCCCCGGGAGGGCCTGGACTTGCATTGAAAAATTTGTATTATATAACTTCTTTTTAATTTAAATTTATGTAATAATATTGACAAAAAATAAATAAATAAATAAAGGAAAGATAATGTTCAAATATCATTAACAAACCATTGGTGGGTGGTGTGATGGTAAAAGAGCAAAGAGGTCCTACATGGGTTTCGGAGTTCCAAGTCCTCTCAGATACTAATAAAGGTAATCACTGAGGGGATTTACTCGATAATTCACTTCAAAACTCTGAGAGATTAGTTGAGGTACGCTCAAAATGGCCTAGACATTCTCGCTCACAAAAAAATAAAAAAATAAAATAAAATATCATTAGCAGTTGAAAGTTGGTGAAATTAAATATTCACCATAACAATCATAATGTGGAAATTTTCTCATATTGGATAAACCAATTAGATTAGCTGCTTGTGTCTTAAATTCAAACCAAATTCTAACCACAGACAACGGGTGATTGAATATTAAGAGCACATAAATTGAACAAACAAAAATTGTTAGGTGCACTTTTAGTTCAAGTAATATTGTCATAAAATTTTTCTTTAATGCCCTTTGCTTACCCAAAATATTGGCTAATTAACATATAAAAACAATATTAATCATGGAGTAGTAAAATTTCAAAACATTGTTGTTCATTAGAACACCTGTATTTAAAGAACCCAAAAATACGATAAAATTAATTTCTAGACGTGTTAAAATAACCCATAATTATATATAAAAATAAAAATAGAGATACTTTTATACCTTTTATGAAGAGTATGGGTAAAGTTAAAGTGAAAGAAAAGGAAAGAAGGGGAATGGTAGTTGTTGAAGGTCTTAATATCAAAACAAAAGCAAGATGGATAAATAATAATAATCGATTGAACCAAGGGAAAGCACAACCACTACTGCCGACGAAGGATTAAGACTTGTGCAGATCCACATTTTCAATTTGCATCTATCTCCTTTGACCTTTAAGATTCCTCCAATGCCATGGCCACAATATCAATATCAAGATCAAATTTCATAAAACCCATACGGAATATTTCTATCAAATTGTCAAGTTAATAGGCCAGCGTCTTTTGTTTCTATAATTTCAATTAGGAATATAATTGTAATTATCAATTCTTTCATCATCTAGGTCGAGTCAAGTCCAATTACATACCAAATTGATGTTGAAATTTGGGAGATTAATATAATATATACAATTTAAAATTTCAAGTGTCCGGATTCATTCTTGAAGCTGTAAAATATGATTTTGTGGAGTTGTTATTTAAGTATTCCATTTCTTTTCTTTTTAAAATACTGTTTGAAAAAGTCAGAAGTATTTTGAACTCTTCTGGAGGAATTAATGACTGATCAGGTGATACTACAAAAACCCATTTGATGAAGTAACTAGAAAACTTAAAAGATTGAACTCAATAGATACTTCTGAATATCTTAAGATTTGATTGAAAGCTCTCGTATATATTGTGCTCTATTTAATTACTATAAATACTGTTCATCCAGTCATCGCCCTTGGATTATTCACACAAGTTATTTAAAAAGTAAAAGAAGCCAACCAGAAGGAAAAGATTTTGCTTATTGTAGCCAATCCAGGTTGTTTGGAGAAAGAATTGATTGTCTCAGGCATTTGGAATTTGGAACTTCATGCATGTCTTTTATATGTATATCCCACTGGCTGCCGCTAGTTTTTGTTTTGGTGTTTAAATTTATGAACACTTGCATTTTTATATACAGGAGAAACTCATTAAAATATGATCACTGAGAACTAAGTTCTGATGGGTATGTTATATTTTTTTCTGTATTATCTCTTTATGCCTCTTATTATCCTATGAAAGATACTGAAAGAGTAGTTAATTATATTGACAATCACCCATATTAATTTCTTTTGGTAAGAGGGAGCCCACTTCAAACTTTTTATCGTTTTCATCAGACTTAGGAGAGGTTTAATGCCATTTCTAGACTATCCATTAATTAAGGCTCTAATGACGCAAGAAATACTGTGTTTAAATGGTTTGTTTAACGATATTATGGGTTCTAGACAGTTCGGTGTCCAATCAGAGTGACCATTTGTGGAAATTTGGATCACGAAAAATCTTCAGTAATGGACTTTGTTTTGGTTAGAGTTTGCTTATTGGATGAGGAACCGCGAGGCCCCATCCTTTTTGGAAAAGAAAAATTATGAAATAGCAATGTGGTTTACACGTAGCCTTGGCGTATGGGTTGTGGGCAATGTGGGTAACCCTCCAATTGGGTGGTCCTTTCTGAATATGTGTAGTGATACGAATATGACTCTTTATTTAATGCAAGAATGAGACAACGTGACCGGATTTCAATAATGAATCCCAAGTTCTTTCGGTTGTTGAAGTTGTGAAAATTTAGTGGCTAGAATTAAAGATTGAAAGGATAAAATGTGGCTAGAATTAAAGATTGAAAGGATAAAACATTCATCTTTCTGATAAGGACCCGGTATGGTTTGTTATATCATCTATTACGAGTCTACTGTGCATGCCTACTTATTGAGTTCCCACTGTTAATTTTGGACAAAGTTTGGCCCAAAATCTGAGCACAGTTGAGTGTGAGGTTTCAAACTTTCGGTCCATTTAGGCATTAATTTGTAGAAGCTGATATATATCACAAAAAGGAATGGTGTTTTATTGATATCTTCTCAAACCACCAAGGAAACTCATCTCTCAATCAATTTTTATTCTCACTACCCAAATCTAAATGCAGTTGTATTTGGATCACAATTTGTCAGGCAATTTTTCCAAAAACGCCTGCTCAGACATGTTCATCTTGTGCTCTAACTCCTAAGAACATTAAGGAGTGACTAAATTGATTGGTGTTCTGAGAGGAATTTGAATGTCGAAGACGTAGGAAACGATACAAAAGACCACCTGAAACAGCTCCTATTATAGGGGCAGTAATATATATCCATATGTCCTTGAAATTCCCGGATATAATTGCAGGCCCCAGTGATCTTGCAGGGTTCATTGATCCTCCTGAAACAGGCCTGCAATGGAAAGCCAGGATAAATTGGAAGGTGATTTTGAGAAATAGGACTTTAACAAGTGTAGAATTTGTTATACTGACCCTGTAATAAACACTGCAAGCCCAACAACTATTCCAACAACAATTCCAGATATATTGCCAATCTGCAATTTTATTCAAATTCATGTTAATTCGGTCTTCTTTTCCAGGATAAATTATGCATTTCTCATTGTGCTTCTAATATTTTATATCTCACTTGAAAACTATGGCAACAGATGAATACATGGAAACTGATTTGAGTGGTTGAGAAGACAATTTCTCCTTACAGATGGAGCTTCATATGTCAAAGATGCAACAAGGAAGAAGATAATGAAAGTTGCGAGGAGCTCCACCCAGAAGGCAGAACTGCAGCCTTGGAGTGGACGAGTAGTCATAACATCATATTTTATGCCGTAAACTAACTTCCCGACAAATGCTCCAAACACAAATCCCACTGTTTGAGCCAATATATAAAGCGGAACCTGATAAAAGATAATCACACATTCAAGTTTTTGTTACTAAAATCTCCTAAAGAATAAACTTTGTGAAGTTACCTTGGACCATGGAAAACCACAAAATGTCGCAAAGGCTATTGTAAGAGCAGGATTAATATGTGCACCAGAGATTGGGCCTATGCAGAAAATCACCACTATAATTGTTAATCCTGTCGTGGCTGCTGATTCCATGAGCCCCACTTCACCACTCATCAACTGAGTGTTTGCTATGTTCCCAGTTAGACAAAACATCAATATGAAAGTCCCCACCATCTCCGCAATTACCTGCAAATATATATGACTCATGTTGCTTTCAAAAAATAAACTTAATGCTAAGTTTCATTAATTGTACCTCACGGGCATGGTTTAGATTGTTCCTCAATGGAAGATCTTCACTGATTGGCATTTCAGCAGAGCCCGTCTCTTGATCATCTCTAGACTGGCCACTGCTTGATGCAGAATTTGAAAAATCAGGAGGGGGTTGTTCTCGGAGAGACAATTTCATTTTCTTTTGTTGTGTGACAAAAGAAAATGAGTGAATAAACCCAGGCTTCAGGCTTTAATGAATGACAATTAAAAGAGGTTTAAATATCATGTACAATAATTAAGCAGAATTGTTTCTTGCATGTCATTGATCTATTTAATGGAGGATTAAATATGGTATAATGTGTTTGTTATTCACACTGTTTCGGCTACTTGAAAGATTATGTTGTTTTGGTGGCGACCGAAGCGGGAGCTCCAACACAATTCATGTGTTGCTCCCAAATGGTGGAAAGGGAAAACGAGACTCGTTTGTGCTTGTCAACTGTTTCCTCAGAGTAAGGCTTAAAGATTTTGTCCCAACAATCTCGATTTTGGTAAGCTTTCTTTTTTTCTTCTTCCGTGAGGATACATGTTATACCCGAATTGCTAATCACCTTTGAAATGAGATAACTAATTTATAAGTACTCGTGCAATAAGACTGACTATTTCTTGACCAATTCTACAGTGGGCGAACAAGTTCAGCTCCTACAATAGCCATGAAAACATTGCTCTAACTACCATGTGGATGGTGAATACATTCGCTTGTATATAAGCTTTTGTCATTCCAGGAATTCAGAGCCTCTCTATCACAATTCTCATTGGCTCAAGTCCATAACTTTTTTTGTATTTACTCTCTGTTGAACCCAATTGACACAATTCAAGTTAAACTTCAAGTCACCTCCAGTGGATCGATCTCTAATCTCTCTGACTGTTCATTACTTCACTGGCCTTTGTCATTGCTTAACGAAGTATCGTAACTTTAAAATGACAATTCTGCAGTCATTGACTAGGAAGCATCCGTTTTCCGTGCTTTCATGAGCTGCCTCTAAGTCTCTTGGCAAAGAGCTTTCCCTTTATCTTAACATATTTGTAACATGCATGTACATGTTGATAATACCGGATTCAAGGTGAACCATGGCGCCCAAGATAGTTTAACAAATTCTAGTTCCTTATGTTAACCTTCATTTCAATGAAGGTTTCAGCTTAGCCTTACCAAACGCTTGTTGCACCCATCATAAAAGATGCTAACACTTCCCTCTATAGGATCACCCTAAAATTTCATGAACACAATGCCATTGACATCAATGCTCCTTTGTTATGGCACATCTGCCAGCGCCCACGCCCTTCTGTTGGTTGCTTATCACCCGAATGCAGCGAAGCCCGGACATATCTCTCTGCCTTGTGCCCTCCACCAACACCACCTTTTATAAAATTGGCCAGTGCGATTGCAATGTCAGGCCTGTAAACCCCGTCACCAGATCATGCGTCTCGTCTCAAACGACCTACAAAGTGTCAAAAGTTTCTGTTTTTTTCCAATTGATTTCCCATAGCAGAGTACACTAGTATATGTAGATACACGATAAGCTATTCTAGGATATACATGATCTAAGGCGATATATGGTTGACCCTTTAAGAAGGGATTTTACAATGAAATACTTTCTTAAATAAACTAATATGATCCTTGTATGACACTCACGCCAACACGCCCCCTCAAGTTGGTGCATAGATGTCTCTAATGCCCAACTTGTCGAGTGAGGTGTAGAAATTTCTGCTGGATACAGCTTTAGTGAGTCATCTGCTAGTTGGTCTTCTGCACTTGACAAATGGAACCGAATGATTTTCTCTTCAAGATTTTGTTTAATGAAGTGCCGATCAACCTCAACGTGCTTAGTCCGGTCATGTTGGATAGGATTATAGAGATGTCAATGGCTGCCTTATTATCCAACAAGTTCATCTCTGAGTTGGGAGCAAAGCCTATCTCAGTCATAGCCTTCTCGCCAAAGAGTTCACACCCCCCCTTGCCATACCACGAAATTCGGCTTCAGCACTAGATAGTGCAACCACCTTTTGCTTCTTGCTCCTCCAGTAACGAGATTTCCTCCTACAAAGGTGAAGTAGCCTGAAGTCGACTTCCTATCTGAAATATTTCCTGCCCAATCTCGTCGGTGTATCCATCCACGTTCAAATGATCATTTTTTGTGAACATTAGTCCTTTTCCAGGAGAGAACTTTAAATACCGAAGATTCTAAGTTACTGCATTCATATGAGTTCACTTGGGCAGTGCATGAATTGGCTCACTACACTTACTGCGTAAGCAATGTCTGGACGAGTATGTGACAAGTAAAAAGCTTACCACTATCCTTTGGTATCTCACTTTGTCCGTGGGCACTTGATCAGCATATACCCCAAGTTGATGTTTTGGACAATGGGAGTATCAGCTGGTTTACATTCTAGCACCCCACTTCCGATAACAAGTCTAAGACATATTTCCTTTGAGATAAAAATATGCCTTGTTTTGATCTAGATACTTCGATTCCCGGAAGTACTTGAGTCCCCCTAGGTTCTTCATCTCAAACTCAGCTGATAATTGCTCTTGAAGCTTGAGATTTCTTCTTTGTCATCACCCGTAATGATCATGTCGTCTACATAAACAATTAGCGCCGTCACTTTTCCAGATTGGTGTTTTAGAGGGTAGTGATCTGAGTTACTCTGCTGAAGCCACATTTTTTCATAGCTGTACTAAATCGACCGAACCATGCACGGGTGATTGTTTTAACCCGTACAAGGCTTTTTTGTCTTGCATCTACTATCTTCTGGAGTTGCCGAGTACCCAGGTGGGACTCTTCTTTTCTAAATTACCATGGAGGAATGCGTTCTTCACATCAAATTTGTGTAATGGCCAATCTAAATTTGCTGCAAGAGATAACAAACTCTAACAGTGTTTTTTTGCTACTGGTGAGAAAGTTTCTTGTTAATCTATACCATACACTGTGTGTACCCCTTTGCCACAAGCCTCGCTTTGTGCCTATCATGGACCCATCAGCATTATATTAATGGAGAAGACCCATTTGCACCCTACTTTTTTCTTTCCTTCAGGTAATGAGACCACTTCCAAGTCTCATTTTTTTTCAAAGCCTTCAATTCTTCTTTTATCGCTTGACTCCATTGTGGGTCAAGTAATGCGTCTTTTCATTTCGAGGAATGAATCTGAGGATAGTTTATGTGCAAAGGCCTTGAGTGGTTCGGATAGTCTGTGAGTGGACACATAGTTGGAAATAGGATATTTGGATCTTCATCTTCCACTTCTGGAGAGTATCGGCTTGGTGGTTTGCCACGGTTATGTCTGAAAGGCAACACATACTGCACAGGACTATTCATGTTATCAGTAAAGAGGATATGGTAGAGGAATTTACCTCAGTGATATTCTCAGGAGAGGGCCGTCGTACTAAAGAGGGGGAACTATCACTTGTTGTTGCATCATTTGAAGGCAATCACTGACAGGTGCATGTGTTTCATACATTCCATATTGCACGTCTTTCAAGTGTTTCAGTACATTCCTATTTGCTGGTTTTTCAATCTCAATATCTCCATCATATGTGTTTTCTGATTCACCCTCCAATTCTAGCCATGTTGTTGCTAGCCATTTACTCTTCATCTGGAAGCTCCTCCTGAAGAGATGATTTGGCTGTAGGTGATGGTAGAAAGTCTCTTCTTCGAGAAAGGTGACATCCATGGTGATGTATGTGCATTTAGTGATGGGGTTGAGCATCGATACCCTTTCTGATGCAGAGCATATCCCAAGAAGAGACATCGGACTGCACATGGATCCAACTTGGTTCGTTGGTTTTTATGAATATGAACGAAGAACACGCATCCAAAGATCCGGGGAGGAACGCTTAACACAGGTGTAAGATGTTGCTCGAGAGAGTCTGCAGGAGTCTGAAAATGAAGGACTTTTGAAGGCATCTGTTGAGTAAATATACGGCTGTGGCAACTGCATCATCCCTGCCGAGAAGGCACATGGGCTCCAATCAACAAGCTCGTGCTGTCTCTAAGATATGTCGATTTTTCTCTCCGCAATGCCGTTTTGTTGAGGAGTTTGGGAACAGAGGTTTCATGAATGAGGCCTGGTGTTGAGGTAAGCCTGAAATTTTGTATTGACATATTCACCTCCATTGTCGGTACGGAGGGCCTTATGTTAGCAGAAAATTGTGTTTGAATCATCACATGAACGACTGAAACACTCCAAACACTTCATCTTTCCGTTTCAGCAAATACAACCAAGTCATTCGAGTGCAATCATCAACAAATATGACAAACCATTTATTTCCAGATGGAGTAATAACAGGGGAAGGTCCCCAACATCTGAATGGAATAAAGAAAAGCTGTCTTTTTTTGTGTGGCTTACGGGGTAAAGAACTCTATGACTCTTGGCTACAATACTGTCTCACATTTAAATGATAAGTGTTGTAATGTAAAAACAAAGCTGGAAAGAGATGTTGTAAATCCAAAGGAGATGTCCCAAGCGATTATGAAGAAGCCAAATTTGCCGTTCTTGTCAGTGGTTGTGTGTCTGATCTGATTGGCTTCCCTGAACTGAAGTCATCCATGTAGTAGAGTCCCCCTTTTCTAGTACCACGCCCAATGTCTCCTGGTGAGAATATCCTGAAGAAGACAAAAAGTAGGATACATTAATCAACACACTTAAGGTCAGTTGTAACTTGACTGACAGAGAGCAATTTATTTGATAAGATGGAACAAATAAGGTATGGTTTAGGAGAGAGAGGAGGATCACACTGTTCCCGCTCCCGTACTGGATATTGGACTCCATTAGCATTTGCAATCAAGTTCTCCTGGCTGAGTGATATGTAAAATCATGAATCGAAAGTCATGTGATCGTAGCCCGGAGTCTATAATCTACATGCTATCATCGTGATCATGACATGTAATCACACTTGTCCACGTTACTTGATCACTGAGAGGTGTGGACGGATTCGTCATTCTGGTTGAGCAATGAAAGATAGTTGTGGTTCACACTTGCAACAGCTGCCTTCCCTGGTCCTTCATTAGTGCCAGGCCCCTCACGTTTTTTCCTTCGAAAATCTTCCACCACTCAGGATACCCATGTAACTTAAGCAAGTTTCACGGGTATTTTTCATGTTGCCACAATGGGTGCTCCCTCCATCAGTTGAGGTTTTGATTTTGGTTTTCCAGGTTTGAATCCTCTGGATGCCATAACTCAGACCTGGAGCAATGTCACTACTGGATGTCATTACTGCTTGCCTAATGTCTTCATGTCGACATGAGCAATGCCTGCTCAACGAGGAAGGGTTGTAATTGAAGCACATCACTTCGAACCTTGTCCAATCGATCTAACCATCAAGGAAACATACTGATCTATCTTCCTGTAAATGAGTTATATTTCTGAATATCCCCTGCACATTTCATTGTTAGGACGACGAAAATCAATTTCGCGCCATAAACCTTGAAGATCATTGTAATATTTTTCAATGGATCCACCCGCCTGCCTCATGCGAGTTACACGACGCCGAAGGTCATATACTTGGGATTTATCAGTCCCATCAAAAAAAGTTGTAGCAATTGAATCCCATACCTGTTTAGCAGTTGGGAATCGAATAAAATTACCAATCAAGGAGGGGTCCAGTAGTTGATTAGCCATCCTTTGACAATGCATTTTCAGTTCTCCATTTCCGGAAAAATGGATCAGTTTTCGAGAGGTTGTGGAGAGTCGCCAGTAATATATCCCTTTTGTCTTTCCCTGAGATATACATCTCAACAACTTGGGACCATAAGGCATAGTTGGAATCACCCAACTTAATGCCAATAGGAGCATTTGAGGAATCGGATGAGTCTGAGAGGAGGTATGGACTTTGTCAAGGCCTCTGTTATTTAGTTGTCCAGTCAACGAGAGTGGACCTGCCATGGTTGCCGAGATCCTAGGATCTTGCTCTGATACCATGTCAAAGTTTCTGTTTTTTTCCAATTGATTTCCCATAGCAGAGTACACTAGTATATGTAGATACACGATAAGCTATCTAGGATATACATGATCTAAGGCTAAATTATGGTTGACCCTTTAAGAAAGGGATTTTCCAATGAAATTTTCTGTAATAAACTAATATGATCCTTTATGACAGCTCACTCCAACACAAAGATCTTATTATCTCTTGGACAGATGGTAAAAATCCAATTGTCGGCATCAACTTCAATCATTTGTTTGTGTAATGTGCCCCTTTAAGCCTCCCGAAGTCTCTCCCTAAAAACGTATTTGCCGTAGCAGGCCTTTCTATGGCTCCACTTGCTCTTTCAATGCACTCCTTATCTTGGATTAACCAAGAAGTTTGCCTAGTAAAAACAGGGTTCGTGGGGTGATCTTCCTTGGTGATGATCCATATTATCTACTGAGTGTTCTTTCTTACACTCCATTGGTGAAGAGACCAAATTCACCTAAATATTATATCAGTCTTAAGGCCATATCAATTAATGGAAAGGAAAGTAAGTTAAAATCTAAGGTGTTTGATTTTGACTCCTTAGGTTATGGTGGTGTGATGCTTAGTACAATTGTTCCTTACACTACCCTAAGAAGTGATATTTACAAAGTCTTTGTTAAAGATTTTGCAAAGGCTACGAAGGGCATCCCTCAAGTTAAGAAGGTGAAGCCGTTTGGTTTGTGCCTCAACTCAAGCGAAATTGGGTTTAGTCGTGTTGGTTTTCATGTTCCTCAGATTGACTTGGAGATGGAGAATGGGAAGAACTGGACAATAGTTGGAGCAAATTCAATGAAGCAAGCTGACAACGATGTGGCATGCCTGGCCTTTGTTGATGGTGGGAAAACGGCCCAACAAGCGGTTGTGATTGGTTCATACCAAATGGAGGATAACTTTTTGCTGTTCGATCTGGATCAATCAAGATTGGGATTCAGCTCTTCCTTATTATTCTACAGAACCACATGTGGTAACTTCAATTTCACACCAGCGGAGTGACCATACATATTGTATTCTAATATGATTAAGGTCCTACTAAAAATTAGTGACGAAATGATGTAGTTTCCTAAAATGACAAATAAATATCAAAATGGTCCTACAGAAAAGAAGCTAAATGCATGCATATCTACTTGTCTGCAGTGATTTATTGGCTTGATAGTGCTTAACAATTCATATACGATAAAAAAAACTTTTTATCTTTCTCTTCACAGCTCACTATTTTGGCAACCAAGTCCAGTCCACCGTTGACTTTGGGTCGTCCATTGCGGCTCAGAAAAATATATAAATACCGCCATGCTTACACTCTTCAACCAACACTAGTCCTGTTCTTCTTCTCTCTGCCGATCTATCTCACTTCCCTGACCATGGTTTCTTCTAATCATTTAACTATTTTCTTCCTCCTTTCCCTTTCGTTCTCCCTAACACAACAATCTTCCAAGCCCAAAGCACTACTGCTCCCAGTGTCCAAAGATACCTCCACTCTACTGTACTTAACCCATCTCAACCTTGGAACCCCTTTTATTCAGAAAAGCCTCGTTGTTGACCTTGGAGGAAGATATCTGTGGATAGAATGTACAAAAGATTACAAATCATCCACTCACAAGCTTGGCAGTTGTGGGTCGGCTCCATGCTCAGTAGCCCACTCTGATGAGTGTACTGTATGCTTGTCTGGCTCTAAGCCAAAGTGCCTCGACAGAACCAAGAGGCCTTGTTATATCTACCCCGAAAACACGCTCAGCAGTGGACATGCTGAATTTGGAAACCTTTCCATGGACAGAATTTCACTCCAATCCAGAGACAGCTCCACATCTGGACCACTTGTTACAATTAACAGTTTTATCTTCGCCTGTGCTACTCATAAGCTCCTCCTGAATCTTGCCAAAGGTGTTAAGGGAATGCTTGGATTGGGAAGGCATCCTGCTGGGCTACCAATTCAACTTTCGTCCGCATTTGGTGGAAGTTTGCGTCGAAAATTTGCTGTATGTTTGCCTTCCAAATCCAAAACCAATGGGGTAATCTTTTTTGGTGACTCAAATTATTTGTTCTATCCAGATTATAATACTTCAAAGGCCATTGATTTATCATCCATGTTTACTTACATACGACTTGTTGTTAATCCGGCAAGCACGTCCAAAATTTTCGAAACGGGAGAGGCGTCAGCTGATTACTTTGTTGGACTTCGGTCGGTTATGGTAAACAAAAAAATAGTTCCATTTAACTCATCATTGCTTACTTTCAACAAGTGGGGTTTCGGTGGAACAAAATTAAGTACAGTCAATCCCTACTCTGTTCGCGAAACTTCTATCTACAGTTCTTTGGTGAAGGTGTTTGATGAGGAGATTATTGCAACCCATAATGTCAGTAAGGTTGCAGCTGTTGAACCTTTTACAGAATGTTACACCATTGGGCAGGTGGGTGTGACATTGACTGGGCTTGATGTCCCTTATATTCGGTTAGTGTTTGAGGACAACACATACTGGGAGCTCCACGGAGCTAATTCAATGGTTCAGATAAGCCGTGATGTGATGTGCTTGGGATTTTTGGATGGAGGGGATCAGGTAACAATACCAATTGTGATTGGGGCGCATCAATTGCAGGACAATCTTCTTCAATTTGATCTTGATGCTTCTAAGCTAGGATTTACTTCCACACTTCTCTCAAAAGAAATTAAGTGTTCCAACTTCAAATTCTGAAAGTTACATCAAATAGTATTAAAACTGCAGGTGCCATTGTTATATGATGATCTGTAGTACTCTGTTTTGTTATGCATTTTACAGTAATGAAAATAAAACTCTATTTCTCTAATAAAGTACATTAAAGAAACACAAGAAGCAATGGATAAGTGTTAAGACTCCCTGCAATAATAACAAACAACAACACAAACAGCCCAAGATAACAAAGAAATATTCACTCAATCGAGTCTCAACCAGATTGTATTTCTAGGAAATGGAAAGTAACAACCAAATAAATGGAAATCCAAACAGATAGATCCCAGCAATTCGGGGAGCTGGGGACCTCCCACAATGACTCTAAATTGATCTATATCTCTTCACCGACACTGACCCTTTATTTATATTACCTTCAAGACCACCAATTCTCTATACTAACAACTTGATTCCCCACTCACACAAATAACAACTGATTCCCCACTCACACGTGACTGTAACCAATTCTCTTAACAACCAATAGCAAGGCACCTCACACTCTTTACACATTCTGACCCGATTGTCCCTTATGCCCTTTGTAATGGTAAACATTTTTAAATGGGGGTCAATCAATACCCCCCCACCCCCGCCCATGAAGAACCACCTTGTCCTCAAGGTGGAAATGAGGAAATTGCAGTTTTATCACCTCATAAGCCTCCCACGATGCTTCAAACGGAGCCAAATCTTTCCATTTTATAAGGACTTCCCGAGAGCCATTTAATAGAGTGCGGACAGACAACACCTCTTCTGGTTGAACAAGTAGTTCCATGTCCTCGGAGAGGCAGGATGGCAGGGGATGAATGGATACCGATGTGTGCAGACTCCGTTTAAGTTGAGAGATGTGAAAGAATGGGTGAATTTTGGCTTTAGGGGGCAGCTCCAACCTGTAAGCAACCTGCTCAATCTTCTCTAGTATGGGGAAAGGACCATAAAACCTAGGATTAAATTTTTCATTCAGTTTTTTGGCCAAGGACTTGAAACAGTAGGGTTGGAGCTTCAAATACACCTGATCTCTGGGTTGAAAACTAATATCTCTAACGCGTAGGTCAACTGTTCCCTTCATTTGTTCTTGAGTGACCGATAGGTTATGCTTCAGTTCATCCAATATTGAATTTCGGGCTGCCATTTGCTAGTTGACTTCTTCCACAGAGGAAGGGTAATCTGTAAATCTGAGGAGAGTGAGTGGATCTCTTCCGTATAGGGCTTTGAATGGAGTCATTTTAATGGAGCTGTGGTGTGTGATATTGTACCAATATTCTGCCTAGGACAGCCACCTATGCCACTGCTTTGGCTGTGAACTACAGAAGCAATGCAAGTAAGTTTCCAAACAGCGGTTGACAACCTCCGTCTGACCATCGGTTTGCGGATGATATGCAGAACTGAACTTTAGCGAAGTACCAGCGGCCTTAAATAGTTCCTACCAAAATTGGCTGATAAAGATTCTATCGCGGTCCGAAACTATGGACTTAGGAAATCCGTGGAGCTTCACAATATCAGAGATAAAAATGGCAACTACATCCTTAGTGCTGTAGCGGTGGCACAGCGAAATAAAATGTCCATATTTAGTGAGTCGGTCTACCACAACCATTATGGTATCTTGTCCTTTTGCTTTTGGTAACCCGCCAATGAAGTCCATGCTGATATCTTCAAAAACCTGGGATGGAACGGGTAAGGGCTGAAGAAGACCTGCTGGTTTGAGAATAGAATATTTGTTTAATTGGCAAATGGAACACCTCTGTACAAACTCCTGCACGTCCCTCTTAATACCGTCCCAAAACACAATATTCATTATAAGTTCTGAAAAAACCTGAATGCCCCCCCCCCCCTCCCCCCCCCCTCTCTCCTGCACATCCAATTCCTTGTTCGGATGTGTTGGTATGAACCTCAAAAGGAAGAGTAAAATCTGGAACTGCCAGCATCGAAACTGAAGTCATTGCTATTTTAAAAGTTTCAAAGGCCCGTTGTGCTTGGTCATCCCATGCAAAAGAGTCATTTCACAGTAGCTATGTCAACGGCTGCGCGATTAAACCATAATTCTGCACAAAACGGCGATAGTAACCAGTTAAACCTAAAAATCCCCTTAGTCCTTTGATTGTGTGTGGGACAGGCCAAGTCGGCATTGAATCAATTTTCTGTGGATCAACCTCTACTTCTTTTGCTGAAATTAAGTGACCCAAATACTCCAATCTCCAACGGCCAAACATAAACTTCTTGTAATTAATTACCAATTCATGCTTGTTGAGAATTTGAAAGGTGTGTCACATGTGGATCAGATGAGTCTTCAAATCAGGGCTGTAAATAAGGATATCGTCAAAAAACACAAGTATGAATTTCCTCAAGATCGGTTTAAATATGGTATTCATTAAAGCTTGAAAGGTGGAGGGGGCATTGGTTAATCCGAAAGGCATGACCAGGAATTCGTAATGCCCCTCGTGGATCCTAAAAGCTATTTTGGGAATATCCTCTTCTCTAACCCAAATTTGGTGATAACCTGATTTTAGGTCCAACTTTGTGAAAATGGCTACCCCTGATAATTCATCCAACAGTTCGTCAATGGAGGGAATCGGAAACTTATCGGGTATAGTGATGTTATTTAGTGCCCTGTAGTCCACACAAAAACGCCAACTCCCATCTTTCTTCTTAACCAGCAACACAGGACTAGCAAACGGACTGGTACTGGGTTGTATAATCCCTGCCACTAGCATCTCACCCACCAACTTTTCAATTTCATTTTTTTGGGGAATAAGAGTATTTGTATGGGCGAATGTTAGGAGGTTTGGCTTGAGCTTCTAAGACTATGGCGTGGTCAGTGGGTCTTTTGGGTAGGAGCTGAGTAGACTGTTCAAACAGATGACTGAATTTATATACAACTACTACTACTGCCGGATCCATATGTTCCTCGGTTTCCTCTTCCTTGACACCAATGGAACAAAACTCAATCATATATCCCGCATCTTCCTGCTGTAGGGATTTCAACATTGCTTTTAAGGATACAACCTTCTTGACTAACGACGGATCTCCTTGTAAAACCACCATATTCCCCTCACTGATAAAGGCCATTGTCAGATTTCTCCAGTTCGCACAAACATCACCTAGCGTACTGAGCCATGAAACCCCTAACACTACATCTGCCCCACCTAGGTCAAATGGAAAATAATCCTGGCGCAATTCAAATCCCTGTATTCTCAATTGTACTCCTCTGCAAATGCCCTCCCCTCTTACTGTAAAACCATTTCCCACCATAACCCCAAATGTTTTTCCCTTTTCTACTACCAGACCTAATTTTCGCACCAAGTCATGTGAAATAAAATTGTGGGAAGCCCCACTGTCAACCAGCACAATCACCTATGTTCTTTCAATCAACCCTTTTAATTTTAAGGTTTTATTTGTGGTTACCCCGACAATCGAATGCATAGACAGGGCCAAGGGATTACCTTCATCGTTAATTTCTGGGATGGGAGGGTTTTCGTCGTTTTCTGTCTCATTGTCGTCGGTCACCAACAAGATCTGGATCGACTTGTTGGGACACCGATGGTTGGGTCCGTATTTCTCATCACAGCGGAAACAAAGGCCATTTTCTCATTTTTGCTGCAGCTCAGCATCGAACATTCGCCGAAAATTATCCCCGCGAAGGTTCTGCATCGTCGCGTCGCTGAATCGATTTCTGTCGTGAAATCAATTTGGGGAAAATGGGTGACCTAGGTTTGAATTTCATGATGGGTTGGTCCAATTTGGGCGAAAGGGTTCTGGGCTTGGGCTTGGGCTTGGGCTTGGGGTGACCCTAGTGTAAGAGTCCAACTTGTGTCCTTGGGCTTTAGCAAACCTGGGTTTGTTCTTGTCTAAGACCCAATTTCTTTCCTCCACGCGGTGGGCTTGGTCCATCAATGCAAATAGGGAAATGGGTTGGGTCAGACGAGTTTCAGCTTTGATTTTTTCTTTTAACCCATTTGTAAATACGCCCATCAGTATATCTTCCCCTACCTCACGCAAAGGAGCTGCTTGAGCTTCAAAATGTTCCCTGTACTTTGTCACTGTACCAATCTGCTTCAGAGCTACCAGGGCTTCGTAAGCTGATCCTTTAAATGATGGTTTGGATCTCTCCATTACTGCACTCTTAAACTCTGTCCAAGAACCAATGGGTGCTCTGGACTCCACCCACTAATACCAGTTCAGGGCGCGACCTTCCATACATACTGCAGCTGTTGCCACCTTTTCTCCCTCCCCATATTGATTTACCGAAAAATACCGATCAGCTCAAAATGTCCATCCCGACGGGTCTTCCCCATTGAATATGGGTAGTTCCAATTTTTTTACCTTAGTGTTCTCAACCTCATTGTTCTTATCCATTCTCCCATTGTCACTACAGTTGGAGGGATCAGAGTTAGATGCCTTCCCTTTATCGTGATTCATATTTGCATCCCTTTCTTCCCTTAGCCTCATCCACTCGCGCAGTTCTAATAAGTACTCCTTAATGCTCTCTAGCTCTTCCCTTACAGTCCCCATTTCTTTCTCTACGTTCCCCATTTCCTTTTCCAACCCTTCAACTCTGTTCTCCATCTTCGATTCAACCATTACCCGAACGAAGCTCTGATATCACTTGTTAAGACTCCCTGCAATAATAACAAACAACAACACAAACAGCCCAAGATAACAGAGAAATATTCACTCAATCGAGTCTCAACTAGATTGTATTTCTAGGAAATGGAAAGTAACAACCAAACAAATGGAAATCTAAACAGTTAGATCCCAGCAATTCGAGGATCTGGGGACCTCCCACAATGACTCTAAATTGATCTATATCTCTTCACCAACACTGACCCTTTATTTATACTACCTTCAAGACCACCAATTCTCTATACTAACAACTTGATTCCCCACTCACACAAATAACAACTGATTCGCCACTCACACGTGACTGTAACCAATTCTCTTAACAACCAACAGCAAGGCACCTCACACTCTTTACACATTGTGACCCGATTGTCCCTTATGCCCTTTGTAATGGTAAACATTTTTAATGGGGGGTCTATCAATAAGCAAGTTGAAAAAATGTTGCAATTGTAAATGTTGGACAATTCTGAATGTCCCCAAGGTGTTATGGCCCCCGCTTGAATGAACGAATTATTGACAAATTTTGACAAGTTGTAAGCCCACTGATTTCCATCGCCTCTACCGTATCAACATGTACAAAACATTGACATTATTGATATTGTAGCTTGTCATCTATCGCATGATGCTAATTTGGCTTTTGTTTTGTACTTTCCTATATCTTCAGCAGGGAAACAATTTATGTGCGGCTTTACCCAAAGGAGTTAATATCTCTCCGAAGATTAACAATGAATTCACGGCAGGACAAAAAGGGATTGTCCGCTAGATGACGGTTAGATGTATTAGAGAGTTAAAATATATTTAAAGTTGACGGAAGGAGGAGAAGAGTATTGGGAGAGTGACTTCAGAACCAGAGGAACAGAGTTTTTGGTAAACCAAGGTCATTTTCCGCTCCATTCTGTATAAGTTGGCACGTTGTTTTAATAATCTATTTCAAGTTGACCCTTATAGATGCTTGACTACAGATTAGATAAGATTGAACAAAGAATTCATTTTCCCCCCTCTATAATAGCACGGTTAGCCATTAGCATCATATTAAATCCAAGTTAAAGAAGGAAAAAAAAAAAAAAAAAAAAAAAACACAGATAAATATGTTAGTTTTACTCGAAATGTGGTATGTGCTTTCATTTAACTTTTCGAATCTCCGCATATGCTTAGAAGTTGGGAGAGGGCTCAGCATAATGTCTGGATTTAAAAGAATCATAATAGCATATGCTCGCATATGCCAATAACTACAACCCGCCTGTTTATATATAATTCAATACAATCACTTCTGTGTTTCTTGTTTCTTACAGCAAATTGCAGTTTAATATAATATAATACATGAGTGGAGTCATGGCAATCTTCCATAGACCATTTATTAATCTTGTAAAAACCATAAACAAATCATTGAAACAAAAAAAATTATCAGGGATAATAATACAGGAGACCCTCTAATTAGAGGTAAAGTTAAAGTTGCCGCAAGTTGTTCGCCGGAACAGGAGAGAAGAGCTGAACCCGAGCTTTGATGTTGCCAGATCAAACTGCAGAAGATTGTCTTCCAGTTGGTGCCCTCCGATTACTATTGAAGTCCTTGGGTTGAATCCACCATCCACAAATCCAAGGCACAACACATCGCTTTTAACTTGCACCATAGAATTTGCACCGAAAATTCTCCAGAACACACTGCTACTTTGCAACACTAGATCAATCTGGGGCACTGCCGGTCCAACACGTGTGCTTCCAATGAATGTAGAGTTAAAGCAGGCCCCAAAAGGTGCAATTGCTGCAACGCTAGGGATGTTTTCTACCTCTTTGATAAAGGCTTGAATAACAGCATTGTAGATTGATGTTTCCATGACTGAGTAAGGATTAACAGTGCTGATCTTGGTTCCACCAAATCCTTCTTTGTTAATGGACAGTAATGATGTGTTTAGTTTGACAGCATTTCCATTGATTTTAATGGATTTTACTCCGATGAAGTATTCGGCTGAAGGTTCACCCTCAAAAGAAGCGGCTGCTGTACTCACAGGATTGAGGATTAATGGGGTGTAAATGAGAGACTTGGAAACATCCATACCAGGAAGCAATACATAAGGCCCGTCACCGAAGATGACAACACCATTAGCTCTTGTTGACGAACTCAAGCAAATTGCAAACTTTCTATCAAAACTGAAAGCGGCAGAGAATTGAGGAGGAAGTGAAATTCTAGTCCTTCCAAGACCAGCAATACCCTTAACACCATTAGCAAGACCACCTAAAAGAAACGTCCCTCCACAAGTAAACAAAAACTTAGGCACTGAAACAACTCTTCCGGGGTTCTTCCCATCAGTAGATTGAATAGACACAACATCCTGGGCAAGCTCACCGATGGTGCCAGTGTCTATAACAGGGTTATCTGGAAGGAGACAACACGTATCATTGTTGCAACCTGGCCTAGGTGAAGGAGTACACTCTCCACAAGACTTGGACCGGGCGAGTGAGCACTGAGCTGAGCGGCAACGTACTGGTTTGTAGGAAGATGAGACATAGCCTTGTTCACAATCAACCCAGAGAAACTGACCTCCGAGATGAAAAGTCAATTTTACAGGCACAAAGGGAGTTCTTTGGTTGAGTGGAGTAAGGTATTGCAGAGTTGATGAGTCTTTGGAGACGGGAAGGACTAAAGCTTTTGGTCTAAAAGAAGTTTGAGCGATGGAGGGAGAGATAGAGATGGAAAGGAGAAGACAAGTGAAGAGAAAAAAATGATACGAGAGAGCCATTTAGTCTGTTGGGTGCTTCAGAGTGGTGGATGGCGAGGCAATTTAAAGCGGTTTTGCTATGACAAAAGGTCAAAGTCAGAGCAAAAGGGCGTAATAATATTAATATGCGGCGGGAAGACGTCCCTAAGCTGACATTAACGCCTCTAACTTAACTAGATTGCTGAGATGTCAAGGCTTGGTTTTGACCAAATCCACCTCATTCTTGAAACTACAGGTAGTGGACGGTTGGAAGGGCGTTTATAATAAGATAAAATGTTTTTAGGTAATTAAGTGTTTTTTTTTTTTTTTCAAATTTCGAATATTTAATAGGTATTAATATTATATATGGAAATAAGGTTGAACTTCTTTTTGAATAATAACTCATAAATAAAATAATTTCATCATATACAATTCTCTCTAATAATCACTAGATTAAGCTCTATTGCAAAAGCTGATTGAGATGAGAATGAAAAGAGAAGTGGTAGGTCGCAGTCGTAGTTGATAAACTAGAAACTCCTACCTGTCCATGAACATTTCAGTAAATAAAGCGAATTATATGTTTATATTCTCAGCAGATTATATCGTCAAAAAACACAAGTATGAATTTCCTCAAGATCGGTTTAAATATGGTATTCATTAAAGCTGAAAGTGGAGGGGGCATTGGTTAATCCGAAAGGCATGACCAGGAATTCGTAATGCCCCTCGTGGATCCTAAAAGCTTTTTGGGAATATCCTCTTCTCTAACCCAATTTGGTGTAACCTGATTTAGGTCCAACTTTGTGAAATGGCTACCCCTGATAATTCATCCAACAGTTCGTCAATGGAGGGAATCGGAAACTTATCGTTATAGTGATGTTATTTAGTGCCCTGTAGTCCACACAAAACGCCAACTCCCATCTTTCTTCTTAACCAGCACACAGGACTAGCAAACGATGGTACTGGGTTGTATAATCCCTGCCACAGCATCTCACCCACCAACTTTTCAATTTCATTTTTTTGGGGATAAGAGTATTTGTATGGGCGAATGTTGGAGGTTTGGCTTGAGCTTCTAAGACTATGCATGGTCAGTGTTCTTTGGGTGGGAGCTAAGTGGGTGTTCAAATAGTGGCTGAATTTATGTACAACTCTACTACTGTCGATCCATATGTTCCTCGGTTTCCTCTTCTTGACACCATGGAACAAAACTCAATCATATTCCGCCTCTTCCTGTTGTAGGGATTTCACATTGCTTTTAAGGATACAACATTCTTGACTAATGACGGATCTCCTTGTAAAACCACTCCTCCCTCCACTGATAAGGCCATTGTCAGATTTCTCCAGTTCGCACAAACATCACCCGCGTACTGAGCCACGAACCCCTAACACTACATCTGCCCCACCTAACTCAAATGGAAAATAATCCTGGCACAATTTAATTCCCTGTATTCTCAATTGTACTCCTCTGCAAATGCCACCCCCTCTTGCTATAAATTTCCCACCATAACCCCAAATGTTTTTCCCTTTTCTACTGCCAGACCTAATTTTCGCACCAAGTCATGGAAATAAATTGTAGGAAGCCCCACTGTCAACCAGCACAATCACCTCTGTTCTCCAATCAACCCTTTTAATTTTAAGGTTTTATCTTGTGGTTACCCCGACAATTGAATGCATAGACAGGCCAAAGGATTCCTTTTGTTAATTTCTGGGATGGGTTAGGGTTTTTGTCGCTTTCCGTCTCATTGTCATCGGTCACCAACAAGATCTGGATCGACTTGTGGGACAACAATGGTTGGGTCTGTATTTCTCATCACACAGCGGAAACAAAGGCCCTTTTCTTGTTTTTGCTGCAGCTCACAGCTCGACAATCGGCAGAAATTATCCCCGCGAAGGTTCTGTGTCGTCCATCGTGAATCAATTTCTGTCGTGAATCATTTGGGGAAATGGTTGACCTAGGTTTGAATTTCATGAGGGTTGGTCCAATTTGGGCGAAAGGGTTCTGGGCTTGGGCTTGGGTGACCCTAGTGTAAGAGTCCACTTGTGTCCTTGGGCTTTAGCAAACCTGGGTTTGTTCTTGTCTAAGACCTAATTTCTTTCCTCCACGCGGTGGCCTGGTCCATCAATGCAAATAGGGAAATGGGTTGGGTCAGACGAATTTCAGCTTGATTTTTTCTTTTAACCTATTTGTAATACTCCCATCAGTATAACTTCCCCTACCTCCACAAAGGAGCTGCGTGAGCTTCAAAATTTTCCCTGTACTCTATCACTATACCAGTCGCTTCAGAGCTACCAGGGCTTCTAAGCTGATCCTTTAAATGATGGCTGAATCTCTCCACCACTGCACCTTAAACTCTGTCCAAGAACCAATGGTGCTTTGGACTCCACCCACTGATACCAGTTCAGGCACGACCTTCCAACATACTGCAGCTGCTGCCACCTTTTCTCCCTCCCCATATTGATTTACCAAAAATACCGGTAAGCTCTGAATGTCCATCCCGACGGGTCTTCCCCATTGAATTGGGTAGTTCCAATTTTTTTACCTTGTGTTTCAACCTCCTTGTTCTTATCATTCTACCATTGCACTACTATTATGAGGGATCAGAGTTAGATGCCTTCCCTTTATCATGATTCATATGCCTTTGCTTCTTCCTCAAGCTCATCCACTCGTGCTATTCTATAAGTACTCCTAATGCTCCCTAGCTCTTCCCTTGCAGTCCCCTTTCTTTCTCTATTTCCCCATTTCCTTTTCCAACCCTTCAACCTTGTTCTCCAACTTCGATTAACCAATATCCGAACGAAGCTCTGATATCACTTGTCAGACTCCTCCAATAATAAAAAACAACAACAAAACAGCCCAAGATAACAGAGAAATATTCACTCAATCGGTCTCAACCAGATTGTATTTCTAGAATGGAAAGTACAACCAAACAAATGAATCTAAACAGATAGATCCCAGCAATCCAGGATCTGGGGACCTCCCACAATGACTCTAATTGATCTTATCTCTTCACCAACACTGACCCTTATTTATACTACCTTCAAGACCCCAATTCTCTATACTAACAACTTGATTCCCCACTCACACAATAACAACTGATTCCCCACTCACACGTGACTGTAACCAATTCTCTAACAACCAACAGCAAGGCACCTCACACTCTTTACACATTCTGACCGTTGTCCCTTATGCCCTTTTAATGGTAAACATTTTTAATGGGGGTCTATCAATAAGCAAGTTGAAAAAATGTTGCAATTGTAAATGTTGGACAATTCTGAAGTCCCACGGGTTATGGCCCCCGCTTGAATGAACGAATTATTGACAAATTTTGACAAGTTGTAAGCCCACTGATTTCCATCGCCCTACCGTATCAACATGTACAAACATTGACTTATTGATATTGTAGCTTGTCATCTATCGCATGATGCTAATTTGGCTTTTGTTTTGTACTTCCTATATCTTCAGCAGGGAAACAATTTATGTGCGGCTTTACCCAAAGGAGTATATATCTCTCCGAGATTAACATGAATTCACGCAGGGAACAAAAAGGTTGTCCGAGTTAAAATATATCCTTTATTTATACTACCTTCAAGACCACCAATTCTCTATACTAACAACTTGATTCCCCACTCACACATGACTGTAACCAATTCTCTTAACAACCAACAGCAAGGCACTTCACACTCTTTACACATTCTGACCTGATTGTCCCTTATGCCCTTCGTAATGGTAAACATTTTTAAATGGGGGTCAATCAATACCTACGCCCCCGCCCCAACCCCGACCCCATGAAGAACCACCTTCTCCTCAAGGTGGAAATGAGGAAATTGCAGTTTTATCACCTCATACGCCTCCCACGACGCTTCAAACGGAGCCAAATCTTTCCATTTTATAAGGACTTCCCAAGAGCCATTTAATAGAGTGCGGACAGACAACATCTCTTCTGGTTGAACAAGTAGTTCCATGTCCTCGGAGAGGCAAGATGGCAGGGGCTGAATGGGTACCGATGTGTGCAGACTCCGTTTAAGTTGAGAGATGTGAAAGACTGGGTGAATTTTGGCCGTAGGGGGCAGCTCCAACCTGTAAGCAACCTGCCCAATCTTCTCTAGTATGGGGAAAGGACCATAAAACCTAGGACTAAGTTTTTCATTCAGTTTTTTGGCCAAGGACTTGAAACGGTAGGGTTGGAGCTTCAAATACACCTGATCTCTGGGTTGAAAACTAATATCTCTACGGTGTAGGTCAGCTATTCCCTTCATTTGTTCTTGAGCGACCGATAGGTTATGCTTTAATTCATCCAATATTGAATTTCAGGCTGCCATTTGCTAGTTGACTTCTTCCACATAGGAAGGGTAATCTATAAATCTGAGGAGAGTGGGTGGATCTCTTCCGTATAGGGCTTTGAATGGAGTCATTTTAATGGAGTTGTGGTGTGTGGTATTGTACCAATATTCTACCCAGGACAGCCACCTATGCCACTGCTTTGGCTGTGAACTACAGAAGCAACGCAAGTAAGTTTCCAAACAGCAGTTGACAACCTCCGTCTGACCATCGGTTTGCGGATGATATGCAGAACTGAACTTTAGCGAAGTACCAGCGGCCTTGAACAATTCCTGCCAAAATTGGTTGATAAAGATTCTATCGCGGTCCGAAACTATGGACTTGGGAAATCCGTGGAGCTTTACAATATCAGAGATAAAAATGGCAGCTACATCCTTAGCGCTGTAGGGGTGGCACAGCGAAATAAGATGTCCATATTTAGTGAGTCGGTCCACCACAACCATTATGGTATCTTGTCTTTTTGCTTTTGGTAACTCGCCAATGAAGTCCATGCTGATATCTTCAAAAACCTGGGATGGAACGGGTAAGGGCTGAAGAAGACCTGCTGGTTTGAGAGTAGAATATTTTTTAATTGGCAAATGGAACACCTCTGTACAAACTCCTGCACGTCCCTCTTAATACCATCCCAAAACACAATATTCATTAACTTTTTATAAGTTCTGCAAAAACCTGAATGCACCCCGCGTGCCCCCCCCCCCGGGGGCTGTTGTGGAATCCGTCTAAAAGCTTGGGAATGA